TCATCAAATGCATGTTCCATAAAGTACTGGAGTGCAAAAAGGGTTAAAATTCCAGCTTAGACCTTCAGCATAAAACTCTCACTACAATGCAAATGATATATGTCACATGACTCAACAAACCAAATATGTTGCAACTACTAAAAGCATGCAAATAAGCAGCAATCTCAATGCAGCAGGACAAGTAATGTTCCTCTGCTGTTTAACAAACAAAATTCTACGTTTTAAAAAGTAAGCCGGCATATGCACGCAATCCCAACCACGAGAAATGAGGAAATCACTCAAAATAAGATTTCTAAACGAATACCTTCGAAGAAACTAATTGATGTCATTTAAACTAATTTTGATTTTCTAGACTCCTGCTACATTTCTAACTTCCACTATTGACTTATTATTCTTATTGTCATATAGCAACTAAGGAATGACTTAGCATTATGTCAATCCTATATACTATTGTTATTTGTTTGTTAGATCCAAACCAGCATATACTATATACAGAATTATATTGCTGATCTTCTTATATATGGCTTGTACTATGTGATTTGCAATTATGATGCAATGTGCCTTGTATTTCTATTTGTATTGCCTTGTATTTCCAATATTCTGAAAGAAGATACACACTTGTTTATTTAATTTTTCTCATCCCTATCTCTTTCTCATGCTAATTTGTGTCCTCTTACCAGAAAAGAGGATTATAATATTCATGCTATGAATTCTTTTAGAAGAAAGAGAAAGCATATTGGTTCACACTAATGTTTCCATAACCAATATAATAGACTCAGTGACCATATGTTCTGCCTCTTTCATATGGACCTACCTGTATCAGTATTTTGTCTATATAGAATCCCTCTGTGCTATTATTATCCACTTAGACAAAATAAAATGCAACTTGTTCAGTGATAAATTGCTATATATATATATTAGACTATATACTATCAGACGCCCACTGTCAGAACAAATGAAAAATAAATAACAAACTTCAAACTTTGTACATGTCAAGGAACTTCCAGTGGCAAAGTATATTCCAGTTCAAAACATAAACACTGTAACGAACTCTGTTGTGAAACTCTACCCATTTTCTGTAACAAAATATCATTATTCAGTTCCACAAAATAATAATATCTAGGATTTAACTATAAGAAAGCATTATATATATATCTAGGAGGTTGTATAGGAAAATTAATTACATATTTTGTTCTATATCTAAATCCTCATAAGATAAAAGAGATTACAAATGCTAAAAATAAATAAAAACACACAAGTTTTCTACTTTTGATATGTAGTCATGCTTACCACTTAAAACAGGAGAAATTGGGATGATATAAAAACTAGCATTAGAGACTTCAATAATTTATTAATTTTCACTCTTCCATTTTCATTTATTTTCCACTATTCATTCAGTATCCCAAAACCACATCCACATACGAACACTTTTATATTAAAACTTTATTCATACAATATCCCTGAAATGGCATTTTACCTGTGGACAGCAATCATCCGAGTTCTGTTCCTCCACTTGCATAGACAAAACACATGTAGCCCATTTCTGCAAATCTTGAGAGGACACGAGGTATCAGAGGGACATTTGAGGAACCTCAGAGGGGTATCAAAAGGGTTCTTAAATAACATTTAAAAAAGTATTTGAGGGGCATCTGACGAGCTATTTGAGGAGCATATGAGAGGGTATTTGAGGAATATCAGAGACATATCACTGAGGAATTTAAAGAATACACAGAGAGGTATCTGTAGGGTATATCTCGGCACCAGAGTCAAGGTCCCGTTCTCTGGCGCTTCTCGGGTGGGGGCTTGGCTGTGCGTTGGGATGGGGTCTGCGAGGCGGGCTCAGTCTTGATCTCCGTCTTCACTTCTACCTTCACTTCCACTTTCACATCTGGTTTGGTGTCTTCTCCTGCGATTGTGTGAAATGAAGACATCAAAGAATGGATTTATCTTAAGGTAAAAATATCAAGAAATCATTTGTAACAAAGGTTAGAAATGTTTTGAATTCTATCTTTGATACTATATTGTGGAAATATCAAGAAATAGTTTGACAGAAGGATATATAAAAATATTCTAAAATCATGTTTTGACATACTTAAGTCATTTTGAACCAGATATATCAAGGAATAGTTATTCTTTTTAAATAAAGATGTCATAACATATTTCAAAATTTTGAATTCATCTCCAAAAGACCTTTCTGAGATAGTAAATATACTATTTTCAGGAGAAATACACTCTAAATACATTAACACTTTAGGGTAAAAGCTTGTACCTTCTCACAATATCCTCCTAGGAAAAGGTAGGGCATCGACATATCAACAGAAGTGGCTCACCAGTAAATACCTCACACAAAGATGGTATCAATTGGCTGAGCTTACTGTGCCACCAGTGCACAATATTCACAGGTGATTACTTCTCTTTCTAGTTGAAATTTTGTAGACAGAACTTAAATTAACAACTCTGTATCATTATCTAATAAATATTTCACAGATTAATTTGCTATTAGTGAATTATTCGGTCATTGTAGGTGGATAAAAGACTAAACATTTTTATGCAAATCTCCAATTTCTCAGTTATGTGAGACACCTGCATTTGGAGGAGCAAAGTCACCCAAATAGTGTTTAGACCAACTCGTATATCAACCTTCAGTTACGAGTACTACATAAGGTTCTTGATACTTTCTACTGTCATCGTAATTATCTAGCAGATTTTAAATCCTGAGAAAGACGAAGAAGAAGAAAAACAAATTCAAATGTCAGAAAATAATTAGGCTGTACTGGCCCAAAAAATAAGATTTTCATTTTTTCATCCCTCTCACTCAAGACATTTTATTTATATTTCTTTTTCTGCATTATCTTCGGCTTATCTTCCCATGGCTGAACTAATCATATGTACTTAATAATACATGACATGATATGCATTATAATCATCATAAATCAGATTACAGTTTCAGTTTCCAGTCATATCATCATATCTTACTATGCCTACTCCCCATCTCTACTTTCCACACTAATCCATACAGACCACTGAGTAATTATCAATATTGTCATAAGGCTTGACATGCAAAGGTCCTCAGAAACAATCAGTACTAAGGTAGAGGCAGACTTATCAATAACCAAGTTTATGAACATTTTATCGCTTTTGGTTGAGTCTTTAACATTTTTTCCCCCAAGTATCATGGCTAAAGGTAAATCAATATTTCCATGAATATGACTTTGGGCTTCATTACATTTCTTTTTTTTTTCTTTCTTTCTTTCTTTTCAGAGAAACCCATCCCCCTAAAGATCTTGGCAGAAAGAAAGAAAATGCAAGACAGAGAATAAGAATGACATTAAGAAGAGAAACCCACTACATCCACATACCTGCTTTTGATCCCTCCTGGGGTTGGTTTTGGGCATTCTGTGGCTGCTGCGGTACTGTTGGGTACTTGTAGGGGAATCTGGTCTGGAGGTCTTCCAGGAGCGAATCTACACGTCTCTGTTGGAAGAGTGATGCAGGCTCCTCCTTCTTCACTTGTCCCTGCAACAAGAGACAGAATATCTCTACATATTATCACAAGAAAAAAATATGTTGCCACTGCACTCTTTCCTAATTACAACTATAACAAAGTGGATACGGATACTAAAAATACTTCTTCTTGCCTTTACCAGCAAGGAAAAGGATAGTCTCTTGCAATCCCCATAGCCCTCATTACAAATAAATGAAAGAAACAGTAGCACAGTGGTTTCCAACTGTTGGGGGTCATAGAGGGTTTAGAGGGGAATCGCAAAGCCTTGGAGGAAAAATATTGCAGGCCAGTTTGCAAGGTGTTCAGGAATATCCATATCAAGCATATACTATGAAGCCATGTACTGCATTACAATTAGGCAAAAACAGCTTGTACAGATGGCTGAATACTTTTTTTTTTCCTTTTTTTTTTTTTTTTTAGTCTTAAAATATGTAGTCAAAAGATAACCAATGGAATGGCTGCTATTAGAGGTTTTGAGAAAGGGATCACAAGTGTTGAAAAGGTAGGAACCAGTGAGAGAGTAAACCACTATCAATACTATTCATCATTCATAACTGCAGGAATATGGGTTATAAAGTCACTTCCAAAACCTAATTATCACCCGACTGTTAACTTTATCAATCTTCACATTTTCACAGGAGTAACTTACCTTAAAAGTACATCATTGCCTACTTTGAAACAATAAAAATATTTCCAATTGATAAACTTCATTCCTTAAAATGATTTCTAATATAATTTCAAATTTGTTACTACATCCTACCAATAAACAAGAGTACCCTTTTTTAATTACATATGAATATCATATAGACCAAGCTATCCTAACCACGGGCATCCTCATACACCTAAATTCTGAAGTATTACAAACTAGATGTCAGGCTGAAATTGGTTTCACTACAAAAATAAAATCTTCCAAAATAAGGATATTTACTCTTTATACCCCTTTATACTAACTGCTCTACTAAGTTTTTGCCAAAGTACAATTTAAACTAAAAATATCTTAAATCTTCCTAGAATACCAGAAAGTTATCCATGATGCACTACACAATTTAATGCTTTATTTTTTAAAATGTACTTACCCCTACCCTCAAAACTATTGTCATAAAAACAAAACTATTACAATATAATTACCACTACTGAACCATGACAAAGGTCCTATAACAAAAAAAAAAAAAAAAAAAAAAAAAAAAAAAAAAAAAAAAAAAAAAAAAAACTACTGCACAAGAATCAGTTTTGAGAAATATCAAAAAAGGTTTTTCATGTCTTTAATCTGAAAATTGTAATGCTATTCAATACCATAACATTTTGAGATGTACATTGTTTGTGATTTTATAAACATTTCATATTTCTGTTTTATCAAAATAATACAAACTTATTTTGGTATGCTGTATGTAAATGATGGAAACTTCTACTGCTACTACTAATAGTAATAAAATTAATAATAGGAATTGTCATTTATTGTGCACTTAATTACCAGTTATATGCATGGAGTGGATGGGTTTACTATCTACTGGCAGCACGGGATGTGAATATACTGTAGGTCAGCAAGATTGCTAGACTAGAATACTAAAATTGCACAACCAAACAGCAAATGCAACATTCATACCTCTTTGGAATCACATGATATTTAGTACTGTGGTTCTCAATCTTAACTGTCCAGCGGCACTATAAATGTGTCCTATGTGTCTGCAACACTCCAACTTTTCACTTTATTAATATACAAATATGAATAAATTACATACAGAGCTTTATATTCACTTGAAAATGCACAAGCTACCATAAATTATTCTGAAAGAAAACAAAATAATCCCTGCCTTTAGGCTAGGATAACTAATATGGCAAGAAATGCACATAAAAATTAAGCAATATATTTGCCAACTACTTGCAATACACTATATTTGTCACAACAAATAGGTTCAGAAACACCAATTTAATACCTGATTCTCTCCCATTAATGTTATAAAGTTTCTCAACATACAGTATATTCTTATTGACTGAATACATGAAGAAAAGGGATCAGCTTGGTCATGAAGCATCAACAAACAGTGAAATCATCATTTATCAAACATTTTGAAACAGTTATTCTCATGATTTGTCTATAGCTCATTACACATTTACTCTGTCTATAAGTACTGATCTATTATGTCTGCCTGTTATTACTGATCTGCTGATTATCTTGAAGGTAATTGAAAGAGTTCATGGATGAGCTGTCATTTGATGACTAGAAATTGTAGCCAATCATATCTATGTGAGATGCACAAACTTCCTCATTATTGGCAAGTTATTTTCCATCTCTTTTTTGGCACAAATAAGATTTAATGAGTGTCAGCTAAACCAAGTACCGTTTGGTATCTTTCCTCTAGACACAAGAAAGCTATCTTTTCCAATGTCTATATACATTCTGCTGCCCCATTGTAGTTTCTGGGTTTTTGTCCTCCTATTAATTCTCCCGAGACTTTGACTACTACACAACATCTTGCCTCCTTCATCTTGGACATTCTCATCATTCTTCATAAGTCTCTCCCTTGGCTGAGCCCTATTTCAATTTCACCACAATACTTTTACATTTTTCTCTAGCTTTGATACTCCACTGTTGGTTATTATTTGGCATAATATCAAAAGACAAATTTTCTGGTCGTGTGAAATACTGACCTCTTCAAATGTCAGACCAAATTTCCCTTGGTGAATGTTGCAAAATCTTGCAGCTAGAGGAAAAGGGAGGACTGAACAACTGTGATCTTTAAGGAATTAAAAGTCAATCAACATCTTCGGGGAAAAAATACATTTTTGCTAATCTTTATGAAAAACAAAGCTAAGAATCCAAACAGGCAGACAGAAAAAGAGACAAAAAACAGACAGAGACTGAGACACAGAGAGAAAATCAAAACCTCCAAAGTACCTTCTTCTCCTTTTCCTTCTTCTGCTGCTCTGTTTGGTCGCCCTGATTCCTGAACTGCCACCAGTACCCTCTGGATGGATGGTAGTGTGAAAATGACTGCATCTCCGTGAAGGCGCTGTTGAGGTTACTGACTGCTCCCAGCTGTCAAGAAATCAAGGTGTTATTACTTTTTTTGAAGCTGTGTTCTAAGCAAATTATGAGTAAATCTTAAAAAATAACAAACTTTACACTTGTATTTGTTTTTAATGTTATGCTTAAAGAAGCTTCAAAAATAGAGAAGGGAAGATCACAAAAGCTATTTTGAATACAATTTTAGTCCATTTCAGAGAAAGGATAAAGTTACATTAATACCCTCACATGATATATAGATATATGTGCACACAAAATATAAAATTAATACCAAAAATAGCAACACGCAAGTCTAAAACTTAAAAAATAACAGTATTTACTACATACTAACAAAACCCAGCCTGTCCTGAATTTTATATCTAACTACACAGCACATCAAATCAAACACAATAATTCAAATGGTATGGAAATAAAATTAAATAATAAGATAAAAGAGTTGGTTTAGTGATTCTTCCAGAAACTGAGGCACATGGTCATATCTAGATACATGGAAACAACCTGAGTAAGAGATAAAGGTAAGTATGTATGATAATAAGAATGGTAGAAGCCAAGCTCATGGACCTGATATGTCAAATCTTCTTGGCCTTGTTTCTTGTTTAAGAAGCAGGTATGGATGAGAATGAATTGTGTGAAATTTTGGTTTTGCAACCTTTATCAGAAATATGAGAGATACAATTAGAATATGTAAAAGCTATACATTCATAACTATATCTATACTACATCTCCAAGAATATGTATATGTATAAGCATATATATGAATACAGTTAGAAAAACAAAGATATTAATTGTTACAGATAGTTATGATATTTCTGCTGTTTGGAGTTATAGAATTTTTTAATCTTTCACTCACATGATGTAAATTTTTCCTACACCTACCTTAGAGAATATTAAACTACCAAAAGCAGTGAAATTCAATCTTGCTATCATGTATCCACTCTCTATCATTTCTTTTGCTTGTTTGTCATGTCTTCTATAAATAAGTATGTGTTCCATTTCCATTCAGGTGGATATAGAGCAAAAATCTGCACGTGCTGTCATGGCAGTCGATGAAAGAGGTCAGTTTAATATTCATTGATTTTGGTGCAGAAACGGTATCCTTTTAAACTCTAGTAAATATTGTCATGACTGGTACATGATACCATTTGGGATGGTGGCAGGATGCTTCTTGTTTTATGCCAAACTGTTGATTTCAATACCTACTGTTTATTTCTAATAGATTTAACCTATGCATCTGATGATTGTATTGGTGTTAATATAGAATTATCTGGTCTAAGGGGTTGGATCTAATTTATATGATGTCTACAGCCATTTTGTCAATACTCATTTTGTTTATTGTTATGGGGAAAAGTAATAGTAGATGAAGTGATCTTTGGTAAAGAGTTTCCTGAAATCAGAAAATTCATAAACATTATCAAGGAATGTATAATAAACAATAAGCTACTATGAGCTGCACTCAGATAGACTGCTATGAACAACTAGTTAAAATAGCTACTGACAATGCTTCTCTAGTGATATAACTCTGTTGCTTCCATGAGGAGAATGGCATTTAACTACACCCATGGCTAATCACTATACTGCTTCTACTATTAGAAACTCTCCAAATTCTCCAGTAATACTGACTGAAGAATACCCATTATTGACCCCTGTATTTCAGACAGGAATCACTCATTTTTCCCACGACATCAGAGAGGGGGAGACAAAAATAAACACTTGGCTACATGTTAAGTCATGCTGCCTGTTCCAAGTCAATGGACTTCACAGCTTATGGTTAGTGTGTATCATAAACATACTATGACTCTGCTTCTCAATCTAACTGATGAAGACTGTGCAATGGAAACGTGAGATAACGTATTCTGTTGCAAGGAATTATCCATTCTTATTCATATCTTCCTCGACAAGAGTCACAATGAAACAAGCTAGGAAAGATAATAAAAGAACATAAATGCATAAACCAACTAAACAAAAAAATAAGAAAATAATCCCTCCTAGTGAATGCCTGTGGGTAGTTATCGTAAGTCCTAATTTCACTATTATCATATCTATGCTTGTCAATACTTTCCCTCTTCTCAAGTGTAATAATTACACATAATAAAAACAATTGTGACCTGTGTTGAGATAAAAATAAAAGAAAGAAGGAAAAAAAGGGAAACATTAGTAATAAATAAGCAAACGACAAAAAAACTAATTTCCTTACCACTCTGGAATTGATGACGGAACCCAAATCGGGCGTCTGGTAAACCTGGCCGCCAATAATATGGTAGTTGGCTAGTGGAGTGACCTGTGTTGGAGAGTACCTGTGCTGCTTCCTGATAATGTACAGGATCGGCTCTTGCGTGTGGAGCAGCATGTACTCTACACCTTGCATGTGGCTGTGAGGAAATAAGATGTTGGTAATTCTTTTTCATTTTTTTATGATTTGTAATTCAAAGAAAAAACAAAGGAAAATCTGAAGAATTCACATATGAAAATAATATATAAATGTTGATCCAATGTCAATTAATTATTCAACCAGCAAAATAAGATAGGGGAAATAACCAGATAAATATGTCTCTAGATTGGGTAAAATACCAAAAGACCTAACTCCAGGATGGATGTCAACAGGAAACCAAGTGCTAGGTGCAGGCAACCTTCATCTCTTCATGCCAAACGTATACTCTTCGTATATAGTCATATATAATATGAGATATGATATTGCTGGCCTAAATTCCTGCAAAGGCATCCAACCATCCAATTACAAAGTCCACATGGCTTAAGGACTATAAACTAATTGATCTGAGACAGTGATGGTGTATCCCTGGCAAGACAGCCGGTCTCATTCATGCTACCTGGAGGCATAAGGCTAAATAATGAATAAAGACATAAAGCAAGAAGAAGTAGAAGAAGAAAAACTGTCTTGTCTAAATATAAAGAAATGAAAATGCATGTATACAACTGCACAGTGTATTAAGAAACAAAAAATTCATAATCTAAAAGAGGGAGGGAGGAGGGAGGAAGAGAAAGAAGAGAGAGTGGTAGGAAAAAAAGATGAAAAATATGGAAATGATAAAAAGATATATGGAAGAAAGGGGGATAATAAAAAGGAAGCATAAGTAGAGGATAAAGAAGAGATGAGTAAAAAAAAAAGTGGACATATCTGCAGAAAAAGCATATGGAATGGAAAAGGAAACAGATGATAAATAAGTAGAAAGAGAAATGGAACATCAAGGAAAAGAAAAGAAAGAAAGAAAAAGAAAAAGAAAAAGAAAAAGAAAAAGAAAAGAAAAGAAAAGAAAAAGAAGAAGAGAAAGAAAAGAAGAAAAGAAAAGAAAAAAAAAGATGAATCATAAACAAAGAAACGCAAAAAAAACAAGAAGAAGAAAAAATAGGCAACGAGAAATCTCACGTCAGCTGATCCACTCTCGTGTTCTGCTGCATCTTGATGAACTCGTTGTTGCAGTCACGGGAGTAGAAGGGGTTCGTCCGCTCCGCAAAATAGTCCATGACATTAGTGGAGTTGAGGTGTGGGATCCACATGCTGTCATGCCACGAGATGTGGAGCGGATTTTCTGAAATTGTGGTGAGGGTCAGAGTTTGTATGGAGCAAATTAAACCTATAAATCTTTGTATATTCATTGTTATGATATATATCCTGTGTAATAAAATATATCTAAAGCTTTATGGTTTTCAGATCAAGGGCTGATCTTTAAACCAGTATGATCAAAACATATAATACCGCAACAAATAGTAATGAAGAAGACTTGACTAAGGAATACAAAATAATACATTTCTATAGTGGAGTCTTTTTCTTCTTTATTAATCCTTTTACAATTCCTACATCATCAAGTACGAAATATATGATGAAAAGCGGAGAAAAGAAAGTAAAGAAACCATTTCCTATATTTCTGTATTCCACAAACAGCCACACTTTAGACAACTGTATAGCTCGATAGATATAGAATTAACAATCCATCTATACCAATATTTGGGTAAGATACTTAACAAGTGATATTTTCATTCTCAAGACTATTATGTACAATCTCATACTATACAGGTATTGACTCATTCTCTTGTTCCTCCTACAATAAAGTGGCTGAATTCTTCTCTTTGGTATATGTTAAACTTCAATCATTACTTTGTTTTCTTATCTATGTCTCAATGAGAGTTGTTGGCCTTACCATGATTTCCTGTGGGAATTTTTAGAACAAGCTGATAAAAAATACAGAAGATGAGGCCTACTCCTCCATTCCCATATAAAATACAACTTCTTTGTATGAGAAAAGGAATGAAAAGTTGCTAGACTAACAGATGTATGAAAGAGCAACTAACTAATGGCAGAAATATTTACATTAAAACAATATGTCCAATACGGTATATTGATGAGAGTACATTTTCTACAAAATATGGTCCCAAATGGCACAAGGAAATAAGTCTTTTCACAAGGAAAAAAGGCCTTCAGACAATAAATCTTTAATAATAAAATGGTCTTAATGAACATTTCAAAGTTTTTCAGAGGACTAAACAAATCTTTACATTTCTATATGACTAATGTGACATATATTTACATAAAGATTATGCTAAGATTGTGAAAAAAGAACCACACACTGGTACATGAAATAATCTGCATAAACATATAATAATTTCAGACATGAAGAAAATAGGTCACAACAAAAGCTGCATGGTTAATTTTTATGGTATGGACTCACTAAGCTCAGGCATATTGAGGACGATACTTTTGTAGAGGAAAAAAACTGCAGTCGTTGGCACAAGTAATAACCTGTAGACATGGATGGTAACACTGCAAGTAAAAGGAAAAGATCGCAGAAACCACCACACACAGCCTAAGAAATCCACTCAGTGCTCCCAAGTTTCAGCTCTAAGTTGCCGTGCATACTTAGGTGAAGACAATGTTTCCAGGGGGGGGGGTAGAAGTAAAGCCCCCATCAACCCTCCCCGTGCAGTGTCCCAGTGGCACGCCCAATCACGGTGATCTAGATTGCTGAATAAAGTTTGTAACATGGAGCTGGAGACTTAGTCTCTGGCGAGTGCATCTGTACTATAAAGAATTATCACTATGTCTACAGAGATCGGATGGGGATCCAGGATTAAGAAAGTGTTTTAGTCGATGCGGTGATGTTCGTGGATTCCCAGTGGATAGCGGCTGACGTAATAGGGCCTTTGTCTCAGAGGGGCATGGTCACCTCATAAACAATCATCACTAACATACTTACATTTCAAGTAAATTCACAATTACAAGCAATTCTCTGTGACACAGAAAACACTTCGAAAATTTATCTACCGGCAAAGTGGTACTACTTTCATTGCCCTGGATTTTCCGTGAAATTATGAAGCTGATATATCCTTTCCCTTGTTAATATTGCTTTCCCTTTCTCACAGAAGATTAGTACAATCGATCTTGTGGCACATATCACGTAAAAAAAAAGTAATGCCAACATATTTGAAGTAAGAAACACGAAAACAAATTCAACATAAATTCAACTATACATTTTCCGCTGGTTTCCTCCACATATATAATTGACAGGTACTTAAACACACCTTTAGTTTGTTCTCCCATTGTGTCTGGAGGTTTAGGGCACAAATATGAGCTAAAAATGCTGCTGGACATGAGCCTCTTCTCCGAACTAAATCTTTGTTTACACTTGTAGTGATACTTAGAGACCCTTGGCACAAACTTAGTTAAACTGACAAGGTACGATTGTGTTTATCGTATTCCCTTCATATCTTTTATTTTTGCTATGTATCATTAATTACAAGTTATATAATGCTAATCTATAACATATCATAAAGTCCTGAATATGGTATCACACGCTGTAAATTGGTGACTGAAAGATGTTTTGACCTAGCGCTCTTTCCTTTCGGAGACGCTTCATTGTTTTTGTTTATATATTTTGTTAATCGTCACATTTTCTAGGTAATTTTTACTTCAGTAGGCGGTCGTAGGCCTAAGTTATGAAGAAATAAGATGTTCAGATA